AAAAATTGCACCTTCAATGCGATACTGTTGTGTCATTAGAAAGTGCTTTTCTTGCTCTTTCTAACGCATGTCAAATTTCGATAGATTCCTCAGTTCAACGAGATTGCAGGCCTAAGATGCCTAGGTGGCATATGTTCTCACCTGAGAAATATGTTCTTGCATGAAAATCTCCACAATGCGCTTATGTCAAGTCCTTTGATTGGTTGCGGAATAAGGGGTAACAGGCTAGTATACGCACAAGCTCAATTTTGTGAAGAGGACGTCTTACTTGTAAAATTTGTTGTCGACATTGATTTTTTGTATAAATTTTCTACAGGCAATGACTTTCTGCGAGTAGAGGCAATCGACAAGTCCAAAGTTGGAGGTGCTGGAATATAGCAAGAGCTAGCAGGACCCATCCACCAATTCCTTTTCACCTTGCGTCAAGTGTAAAAAATTCATAATTTGTAAATAGGCATGCTCACATGTACTGCAGCGAGGGTCAAAATGAGGTTTCATTCTTATTCGCTTGAAACCGTGGACTCTTCTCTGTTGCATTATGAACTACAAGAATGTTATTTCTATCCATTGTCAAATAATGGGTCTATCAGTTTTCGCAAGGAAGCATTGTCATGTCAAAAAGACAGTTTTTGACAGACAGTAAAAGACAGTTCAAAAAGTTTGAAGAAGAACGTTGTGAAGTTTTTAAGTTCTTGCTTCTTCCTTAACAGGGTTTCTTGCAAGTCAGTATTTTTCTGATAGCCAAAGAAGCGCTCAACGCTTAGCACCTCAGATTATGAAAAAAAGTTGATTTTGGAAGTTCTGACAATTTTAAAATCGAAAATTCCAATCGGACCGAACTTATACAGCAGCCCCATACAACGTCTGCGGCCAATATTTTCAAGATGCAACAAGACTCCAGTACAGGTCTCGACACAAGTGGCTTACGGAACAGGCTGCACACGTTTTGGGATTGAAAAGAAGAGGGAGTTGTTTTGAGGGTTGCGGAGCCTTGGAAAAATTCGAATTTCAGCTTATATGATGTATGTGAAAAGATCGCCAAATTCTTTGTACAAAGTCGGAGTCTCGAGAGCGGTAAAAAATTTTCAACTAAACTTCTGAACATGCAGTTCTGTCTAAAACTCGATTTTTAATGTATTTACGTGATTTACGGTATGTTACAACATCCACATAGACTTCCCGGTTTTTAGACCAATTCAGATCTCAGAAATTCACGAAAAGGCCTTATTATGCAAAATGAGTGTAACATTCATGATCAGAACGTGTGATAACCTTTCTTTATAAAGTTCTATGCAAATATACGATTTGACCGGTCGTCGCTATCTACTGCTTTTGCGGAAAGGTCTCAAAAAGCGAAAAGGTAATGTATCCGGATCAGCGTATCTACTAATCACTCTGGACTGATTTCTAGTCAAATCTGCGACGGCTTTGACCTCAAACCGTACTCCCACAGTAACTCCACAATAAGGCGTTACCATGACAAATGAATTTCTTAATCGTGACCAGCATGCATGTCAAAGAAACTCCTTGGGCAAAGTTACAGGGACGCTATCGCAGAGGATACGCATGATATTCGTGATCGTATGAGGAATAAGGCTCGTGCAATGTTTCAACAAAATCTGAGACCTGGACCCACAACGTCTACCTTGAACCCGGGGCCCGACACGAGTCGGTTTTAGGGTTTTCAAAAACGAAGTCTCCTCTGACTTCCGAAAGTTTTACGAAGTTCCCTTTGACCTACCGACTTAAGAGAAGATGAAAACAAGGAAAAGTTACTATTCTGAAAGAAAAAACGTGAGATATGAGTGAAAATCCAAAGTGGAGCTGAATACTAAGGCCCGTAGCTACTCTGTATATCTTTCATCTTCCTTTTTTATCTGTGATATAAAGGTTTTCATACCCTAATAGCTGCGAATAATGGATGTCAGGTTATTGCCATACAAGATTAGAATTTCACAACCTTCTGTGATCCCCTGGTGATCCGGATCACCTCTCATTTTCAAAGTCATTTGTCTTCCTGCAAATTCAATGAAAATGTTCTAAATTTGTGCTAAAGGTATAATAACAGTCTATAGTAGAAATAAGGAAATTCTCAGGATAACGAAATTTTCGATGAACCGCTGCTCGCGAGCTAGGGATTATCGAAAAATTGATAATCTTCAGATTCCATTTCTTCTGTCAAAAACTTGCTTAGCAGTGCCGTAGTATATCCTCAGTACAACTTTACAGCATTTTCATGGAGTTTTCAGAAAGATAAATGATTTCGAAGATGAGAGTTGATCCCCTGGGGATCCCCAGGGGATCACCCAAACTGGTGAAAATCTAGTCTTGTATGGCAACAACCTGGCATCTATTATGCGTATGTATCAGGGTATGAGAACCTTCATATCACAGTTAAAGAAAGAAGAAAAAAGGTATACAGAGTAGCGAAATATAACGCTTCCCCTCTCAGATCCCCTCCCCTCCCCGCGGGGATATACGTGCATATGGGCCTAAGCATGCACAAGAGTTTGGCATTGGAGCGCGATATCTAGCAAAGCGATTCATGAAGAAATTACGGCAAAAAACAAAGAAAAGGCAATGATATGAAAATGCTTTTATGCTCAAGGATATATTTTTGACGGGAATCCGTCCATGATAGAGAAATCCAAAAGTTATGTGAACTTATGAAAATATATGCTCCAAACGATTCCAGATCTCTGGTGGCCGTCTGGAAACGGACTAATTCTAGAAAAGGTATTACTTCACATAAGTTTTCAAAACTATTTACATAATTCTTCTGCAAGTAATATTCTAAGCCTACAGTTCAAATTTGGTGTCATATGCTTGTCTTTACGTTGTAAACAAGCAATATGTCAACTTTGGCTTTACTTTCAAATCGCGCGCGCTTTTTCGCAATACACGATGGAGCACGTCCATCATGTAACAACCTGTCTTCAAAGCTTGTGCTTGACCCCAGTGCTCGCTTTTGGCACAACTGGAAGTGTTGAGTTGTCTTGCACACTCTATATGCAATTCCCCAAAAACTTCGCTAGTAATGCATGTACGCAGTTTTTCTTCGGGGCTCCGCCTCGGACCCCGTAAAAACAATCTCCCTTTTGCTATGTGTCCCAAAAACAAAATCCAGCCTGCTTCTAGACGATCTGTGCCGAGCCCTTCTTAAACCCTTGAAAAAGATCATGCCATGCGAAATGAATGCATGCGATCAGCAAATCAACTAAGCCCTGTAAGAGGAATTCTAAGCGAAGTTCTGATATTGATTTTTTATTTGAACTATTAGGTTGTCTCATAAGTTCTTTTAACTTTGACTTTTCAAAGCAATAAGCCACACACTTCTCAATTTCGATTAACATTTAGGGTATCGTTCGATAGAGCAAAGCGAGCTTTATAAGATGGTTCGTAAGTGTTTGCACTAGGTTCAGCACATCACTGCTTAGAAGCCAAAATCTGACAACTTTTGGATGCCCAAAAAATTGAAATTTTTCTGTAACTTTGCCCGAAAAAAACTTACCAAATTCTCTCTCACGCATATACACTCCAAGAACACATTCATATGTGACGTTGCTGTGTTTGTTTCTGCGCTAGAAACCGAGTTACATGTCATCTTGTAGAGCTTGCATTGCTCTATCGAACGGTTCCCTGCATCTTAATCAAAGTTGAGAAGTATATGACTTATTGCTTTAAAAAGTCAAAATTGAGAAAACTTATGAGACAACCTAATAGCTGGGACTGTGTATCCACTGTGACATAGCCTAAACAATCTGAAGCGTCCCTAATGAAGTGCTTACTGTAAAGCTCATTCGTTGTAATAAATGAGCGCAAATGAAAGTTCAGAGAGTCAAAAAATCTGCTTGTCAAGATGTTTATAAAAGAGCAATTGGGTATGGCGCTCTGAACAAGATTCGTGCTCCAGTCGCAGTATCTCCAGCCAAAGTAGGCGCCAGTAACCGATTGCCTGCTTCAGCAGGACGCGGCGCAATTACTGTCATTTGATGTCACGTTTTAGGGAATTCAAGTCGGCGTGCGCGTCGCTACAACGAAAATTTCCTTTGATAAGGCCTTTTCATCACTCTTTTATTCTGCGCGGCTTTTTTATCATCTCTTCAAACGTTGTTGCAAACATCGAAGACGCCACATCGATTCCCGTTCAATTTGACGTCAAATGACTTTAGCTTATTAGTTGCGCCTCATCCTGCTGAGCCAGCTAATCGGTCAGGATACCTAACCGTAGGCTGGTTCCGAGGACGCGGCGCAGTTGCAACAATGTCATTTGGCGTCTCGTTGGATGGAAATCGAAGTGGCGTCTGCGATGTTCTGACAAGTAGTTTTTGGAAAATGATAAAAAGGCCTCACAGATTGAGAGAAGTGATAAAAAGATCTTACCAAAAAATTTTGTTGTAGCGAAAGGACAAATGCTGATTTGATTTTGCAACGTGACACGAAATGACAGTAATTGCGCCACATCTTGCTGAAGCAGATAATCAGCTAAGTCTGGCGCAGTGGCGGTCCCAGGATTTCTGTTTGGGGGGGGGGCAAAAAAAATTTTTTTCAGTGGAGTTGCGTGGCTAACGCCACGCACTCCGAAAAATTTTTGGGGTGCTTCTGAATTTTTTCGGCTTCGCACCCCCTAAAATCAAGATAAAGGGGCGTGGCGCCAGCCACGCCCCCGAAAAATTTTTTTTCAGAGCTAGAATTTTTTTGAATTTAAAAAATCATTTTAATTATTTACATAAATAAGCGAGTCACGTGCACAATTTTATAACCTACGCAAGTAAACTTCAAAATTTTCCTGACCGGTTCTAGGGGGGCCCCCTTTCTCGGTCCGCCACTGGTCTGGCGCTTTTTAAGGGCAGACCTACAGTCACTCCTGTCTAAATATTCTTATTAATTTCTAATAATTTCTTAGTCTGTTGTGACGAACTTTTATAGAGATATCTTATGAACACATTTTTCTCTAAGCCAATGTTACAGCGCTGTCCATTTCCAGAAATTATTTTCAGGGCTATTTGCTCGTGGGCTACTGGTATGTCGAGTCGGAAGCCTATGACATCACTTGGACTACACCATACTGCATCATGACGTTGCGATTTACAGGATTGGTTATGGAAATTTACGATGGAGCGCATTTCGTAAGCTGTGTTTTTAAGAAGTACACTGAAATCAAACATCTGAAGTTTCAAGGCCAAACTGAAAGCAGATCAGAAGGAAACTGCTATTAGAGATAAACCAGGACTGCTCGAACTTGCTGCTTTTGGTTTGTTCTATACGGGCACATTTGCTGGACCACAATTTACTCTGAGTAGATTTCGTAATTATGTGAACGGGCATTGGCTGAATGAGAATAAAGAACCAAAGCAGTCTGCGTGAGTTTTGCTTCTAGAAACCTTCGCTTTTGCCAGACCTCATCTATATCTTTCTTGATTGAAAATGCGTTTCCATAGGAGCAGCAAGATCTACTTTGCAAATTTTGTATATGGTTTTACTCGAATTGTTCCAGGCTGATGCCTTCGTTAGGCCGCTTTATCGCTGGTTGTACCTATATGGTGTTGAATCAGTGGGGAGCTGTATGGGTTCCAAATAGCTTCTTCAACTCGCAGGAATTTTTCGTAAGTAAAACATATAAATCTTCTTACAGATGTAAGGTTCAGCTAATGTAAGTGTGCTTTGTTTCTCCTTGAGGTTTGATTTTAAGAAGCTGAGCAGATGGGATGAAGTAAGAAGGAGTGAAAAAACCAGCTATTTCCTGATGAATAATGAGCCAAAGCCTCTTCGAAGTAATAAATACACGCGATTGTTTGCGATGCACCCCCTTTTCTCTTTGAAAATGGGATGCGAAGTGTTCGAAAATTACTTACATGAGTTATGCAGCAATTCTTGTTTTCACTTATGAATGAGAAGAACACTTTTCAACTTTTTAGTAAACAAATTAGCTCCAGGAGGAACTTTCGTGACATGGTTGCTTCCACGACCTCCACTTTCAGAATTTTGGGGGCTATAGGTTCAGTTTTTTTTTCAGTTCAAAGGTGATGAAGCTTTCCGGAAACTTCTTTTGGAGGGCGCGGCTGTACCGTAGTCTTTCGGTTGAAAAAATCTTTCGTCCTTCTCCTCTCGCAAACGAAATTTTTTGGACCGCCACCATTACATGGTGGTCGACCAAAAATCAAAATCTCGGAATCTGAAAAGTGCACGGAGAAGTTTCTATATTTGCTCATTGCGATTTTAAAACCATCCTCTGCGATAAGGTCTTAGCGCAAATCAAGCAGCGCTTCCTTGTGGGAAATTTCAAATTTGTAGTTCCGGGAAAACGACCGGATAGGCGGAGTCAGTCATAAGGCGGCGGAGCTCGCCTCCTTTGTAAAATGCAGCATGTATAGATGCATACACACCGTGGCATACCGAGGGGAGGGAGCGAGAGGGGGGGGGGGAAGGCGATGACAATGGATCGCGAAATTTTCCAAAATTACATGAGCTGTCAAAATGTGCAAGTAACTTGTTTAAACTTGCAAATAATTGAAATAATTTTCAAAAATTTTTGAAAGTTTAATTTAGCCTTACATACCAAAAAAATTTTCTAGTGTGTGGCTAACGCCTTTATTAGAAGAGAATTTTTGTCCCCCCCCCCCCCTTCTCCGAACGGAAGTCGTGGGAACGCCACTGATACATACATGCGCCTTCGTACAAATACATGAGGAAATCTGGTCCCATGAAGACACAAAAAAATGGCTCGTTCAACGCAATAAAATATCCTTTCTCAGAATATGCCATTTCTTTGGCGGTGGACATGGGCTATGATTTGGTTTCGTTTAACAATGTTCCGCTATTGTGCTATGTGGTTGATCACGGTCAGTATTTTTATTCATATTTTGAGATACACTACATCGGTGCAAAATCAAACTCATAATCCAACCTACCTTGTTTTATTGTATGTTAACAGGAAGGAGCTGCCATTCTCAATGGTATTGGTTACAATGGTAAAGACGAACATGGAAATGATAGGTACATTTCAATTCACCTCCTTTATCACATAATTTGTTTGAGATACCAATATTCACTTAGATGGGATGGTGTGCGTGACGTGCATATATGGTTGTGGGAAACTGGTCATGACTTTTCCTCAGTCATCTCGTCCTTCAACTGTGGAACCAACACGTTTGCAAAAAAGTGGGTTTTTGGTTGCAATTAGGCTGTTCGCATTTTGGGTAGTCGCAAGCAAACTTCATTTCAAAGGAACAAACCATTTTTGTTTTCCCAGCGGATCTATGGTACTATTCAATAAAATCAAAGCAAGCTTAAATGCCAAAGATTCACCGCTCAATCCATGCAAAGTTTGAAGCCAAAAACTAGATTTTGCAGCTACTTTGAGAATCGAATCTCCTTTTAGAAAATTCCTATGGACTTTTTGTAATTCTACAAAATATTAACTTTAGCTGTAACTGCCTATGAGCTTCAGTAACAATTTACTTCAGGCTGTGAAATAGCTTTACATCCCACAATCTTGCTGGTAGCTTTGCCTGATGTTTTAGAAATCTATCGCCACGCTGCTTCTTCTTTATGCTCACATTATCTGAACTGATTTGAGAATTAGCAATAGTACGCTAATGCGCTCGCAGTTAGATTGAGATCATAGAAATGCACAATATGCTTAGTTAAGATGTCTCTCACTTGAGCCTTTATAAAAGACACTAGTATATGCACGTCTTTGCTTTTGCTCTGTGATACAGACAACAAACGTCTTAAGCTATTATTGCTAGTCACACTCAAACCTATTTCCGAAACATCTAAGTTTCGAATACGAGCCTCCGATTCGGTCATCATACAGTAGACACATTGTAGTCATAGATGCTTTATTTTTTCCTCGCCTAAATGAAGGAAACAAAAACAGCGAAAATGCAGGGATGTCATTCAGGTTTATTTTATGTTAAGCTCAATATTTTCTGATCAGCAACGCATATACAGAGACATAGTTTCAGAATTATACGTACTAAGCTTGGGACTATCACATACTAGCTGGCTTACCCGGCTCCGCCGTATCCGGACCAAACTTGGCACACATACACTTCGGGCCCCGGCGCGTGTCACAGTCCACTTTTCGTTATCGATCGATGTCGATTTTACCGATTTTTATCGATTTTTTCGCAGAGTTCACCTACAGGGCTAGGAGTTGGCACAGGGGGGAAGTGAGCATGGGGATTCCGAATACAATATTAGTTTTCAGAATTATCGGTTACTTTTATTGATTTTATCGATTTTTTGTAAATTTTGACATGCGAGGCTGGGATTTTGCACAGGGGGTAATCGAGCATGCTGATTACGAACACAATATTAGTTTTCAGGATCGTCCATTACTTTTATCGATTTTATCGATTTTTTTGTAAAGTTTGACCTGCGGGGCTGGGAGTTTGCACAGGGGGGTAATCGAGCATGCAGATTACGAATACAATATTAGTTTTTGGAATTATCCATTACTTTTATCGATTTTATCGATTTTGCAAAATTTGAGCTAGGGGGATGAAATTTGGCACAGGGGTGTAATCGAGCATGCTGATCACCCCCTTGGGGATGATCAGCATGCTCGATTACCCCCCTGTGCCAACTCCCAGCCCCCTAGCTCAAACTTTGCAAAAAATCGATAAAATCGATAAAAGTAATCGATAATCCCGAAAACCAATATTGTATTCGGAATCCCCATGCTCGATTACCCCCCTGTGCGAACTCCCAGCCCCGTAGCTGAAACTTTGCAAAAAAATCGATAAAATCGATAAAAGTAATCGATAATCCTGAAAACCAATATTGTATTCGGAATCCCCATGCTCGATTACCCCCCTGTGCCAACTCCCAGCCCCGTAGCTCAAACTTTGCAAAAAAATCGATAAAATCGATAAAAGTAATCGATAATCCTGAAAACCAATATTGTATTCGGAATCCCCATGCTCGATTACCCCCCTGTGCCAACTCCCAGCCCCGTAGGTGAACTCAGCAAAAAAATCGATAAAAATCGATAAAATCGATATCGATCGATGACGAAAAGTAGCCTATGACACCCGCCGGGGCCCGTAGTGTATGTGTGCCAAGTTTGGTCCGGATCGGTTCAGAAATGGAATTTTCTATTCGGAACATACGTACACACAGACATACATACAGACAGACAGACAGACAGACAGACATACAGACAAACAGACATTCAGCTTTATATATAAGACTAGCGTGTGGGAGGGGCTGGGGCGAAGTTTGGCGCTATTATACTAAGTTTTTCTTTGATTTTTATGCTCAATGAAATTCAGCAAACGCATTCATGAATACCTGTGTATGTACTGTATTACGATTAATCTAGAGCTTCGTAGGACTTTCCCCGGCTATACTAAGTATAAAATTTTTGCTTCAAACACTGCCAAATTTACAACTTAGATGGATCTCTGGTGATAAATTTATAGAGCTTGCTTCGTTCTCTCGAACAGTGCTCATGTCTGCTAGGAAAATAAACACCAAATCAAAGAGGGGGTTTACTTTTGAGACAACACTGTAGGCTTCACCCTTTTTTTTCCATGTACATCACTTTTTGAGAAAGCATTTATCATTGCAGTCACATATTTCGACGTCTACGATGGTTGGGTAGTCGAGCCGCTGCTCATCTTGTCACTTTGAGTTATCTAGCTATCTGGCATGGTTATCACCTTGGTTACTTTTTCTTGTTTCTTTTCGAATTTGGATGCATGATTGCTCAAGAACAGGTACCCAAAAGTGTTGAGCAATTAAGTAATTTAAGAGAAACAGAGAACAGTAAAGAACCAAATACGTAACTTTCTTTTCCAAAGCTATACTCGCTGATCAATGACACTCCCGGATGGGCAGAGTTCAATGCGAAGCCAGCTGTTAGGCCATTCGTATGGTTTTTCGGACGCCTTGTTATTCAATACTTTATGGGTTTCATTTTTCTATGTATGGGACTGTTGAAGACAAAATATTGGATAGGGGTAAGTACATGACCAATCGTTGTTAATGAATTGTACGATTTCTTTTTTAGCCAGTCAAGTCGCTATATTTCGTTGGTTTTATTCTGGTCTTCGCTGTGTGGCCAGTTCTTCACTACACGCTAAGGAGGATACTGCCAAAGAAGACAGACCACTTGAAATCAGAAAAAAATAACTTGAACAACGCAGCTCCGAATAAAAAAGAGTTGTGATGTATAGCCTTCTTAGGATTTTGTTATTATAGTTGTTTTTGCACTGCAAATCATTTTTGAAAAACTCATGGTTGTGTAATAAAGTCCTCCTCCTTTTTCCGCTTATATGAAGCGTTTAGAACTTTGCCGCACAGTAGCCGTTTGATGTTGCTATTGTGGACGCCAGCACGCCAGCATTCGAGACTCCTGTCGCCACTAGAGATTTTAGTTGCCGTTTGGAACATATCACGCAAAACAACACGTTTAGCGACAATTGGATGGGCGGACTCGGCGTATAAAAGGGTGTTCTTACAGCTTTCTTTGCCATGCCTATCTCAGACACTAGATTGCGAGATTACCAAGCTTCATCTCTCAGACATTACGGTTTACCATCGCGTAACTGAAAAGGAGTATATCTCTCAGTACAAAAGCTTAAATCATATTTGGATGATGCTTGAAAAGGAAGAAAAGGAAGGTGGTTTCAGCGAACGATTTTTCAATAGGCTTAAAGGCAGCGTCGCACCAGACTGGGGATACCTAGCTCTGGTAATAATGTAATAGTAGACCCCTAGCTAAGCGACGACAGAAGTTTGCAGCACGAAGGGGGTCTACGAAGTCTACAAATCGCCCCCAAGTGGCCCGGATTTTACGGTGGGCTCGGACAGGCACGAATTGCATGCAAGGTAGAGCCGCAGAGTCGTCGCGGGACCCTGCACTCATAACTGTGTGCGCTATACGCACTCCGGCCTTGCAAATCGATATTGCGCTGTGGGCGGCGTCCGGGCCTACCGTAAGATTCGGGCCAATTTCGGAGCAGATTTTAGGCTTGGTAGACCCACTCTTTCGCTCCGAACTCATGTCATTGCTTAGGTAGGGGGTCCACTTTACATCGCCACAAAAACCCGCCACCCATCTTTTTGCCGGGACGCTGCCTTTAAGCTCCACCACCCACTTGTCCCGTTTTTTATAGCTTAATAAAAACGTATAAGCTTCCCTCTTGCGATACCGGCTCCGCGCCAGCTATACATTACTTGCAAGATTCGGCCAATTATCACTTGCATCAACTGCCCAACTGATAGGATAGCATGGTCCCTCAACACAATTGTCAGTCCACATTTCAACATGTTCCCTCCCATCTGACCAACACCGGACACTTTCTTGATCAACTGCGTTAAGTGAATTTCGATCAGAACTGCGTCATAAAGCATTTGATGTGAGTTCGCTATACACCAATTTCTCCAACAACGAAGCACTACGAGCACTTGCTGGGAAGGTTGATGAGCAGGGTGCAAATATGTTGACTATGGCCTCAGTAAGGCGTGGCTCATGACTCTAATACGAGAGTATTTTAAATGCAATGTATTCAAGTGATTTGGAGAATATTATTCACAAGTAAAAGGCCTGACAGTGGGTCAGAGACTAGCACCCGTGCTTGCCGTGTGCTCTATGAGCAAAATAGGGAAGCCAGTGATGTCTAGAAATCCATGTATAATAACATCGGCTCAGTCCGAGATGGATGAGTGCTTCGAAGTAATGAATCAACAATCTCAGCACATAAGAAAGATTCGCGAAAGAGAAACCAAACGAAGGTTGGCTGCCGTATCTGAATACTCAACTGATGCTGACCACTGACGCGGTACGAATAAAATAGTATCGCAAAAAAAGCTGTAAGAACATCCTTTTACAAGCCAAGTCCGCCCATCCAGTTGCCGTTAAACGTGCTGTTTTTGCGTAATATGTTCTAAACGGCGATTAACATCTATAGTGGCGAGAGTAAGCGATAGGAATCGAATGCTGGCGTCCGCAAAGCAGCATCAAAGCCTACTGTGCGGCAAGATCTACACACCTTCGAAGAACAACTGCAAGACCAGATGACAGATCTAGCATGATCCTTATTAGTTTACCATTTATCTCAGACAGGGTAACACATGCGATACAAAATTGTTTGGTGCAAGCACAGCTTGAATTGTGAATTGAATTGTTCTCGTTAATATACCTCAGAGCAAATCAGAAAGCAACGTGTGCGTAACAGATTGTACAACACAGCTTACACCTCTCGATGCTGCGTCATATGCCTTTACGGAAAGCCGGGAATTGCGCAAGCTGGAGTAACTTACGAACTAGAATGCCTAAGATTGTCATGCTACATATATCACGAGACAGGCGACCACTTATACGCGTGAACGAGCACTTGGCGAGTAAAAAACGAGACGTAACGACCCCATTGGGATAGTTCAAGAAAGTTGATCACTGCGACAATGAATTCAGTGTTAAGTGCGTAGCTTTAATGACCAAGGTATTTGCTCGCAAAGCGTTGGAGGGGTCCTTCATTCTATCCAGAGAGCACAAAATGAATAGCAGGAATAAACAGCTCTCTATCACAGGTGATCTTACGCCATTTCTGTCATGCTGCCAGGTATAAGGCCCACTATATAAATAGATCCTTTAGAGGATTACGTTCAATTTCGTCATTTGTGGGTGTGGCTAGGCACTGCCGTCGTAGCAAATTGTCAGTGTGACCCTTGATGAGTTGCTTCTAAGTTGGATACTCGTTGATGTCCACTTCAAATGTACTGAATAATCGAGTCTAAAGGAGAGGTTTGGTTGTGTAAAGTGTAAGATCAAGGCGAATGAGTAATTTCAGGCCTCTGGAAAAGGCATTAGTGCCGAAACGTTAAGCCGAATAAAACATTTATATCAAACCTGTCTCAGAAGAAATACTATCCCAAGAAGAAAGGAGAACGAACCAAAGAGCTGTTGCTCCCTCAGAGAAGCTATTGAGATTCATGAAAATAATTTTGACCAAAATGGCGCCAAAATGGATCCCAGAGCCTTACTAGCTGGAGGTTTGCCGTAGTAGAAACTAGGGCAGAGTTGGTATCATAAGTGCAATAGGAGGAGCAGGGTCCCCTCCAGGCGAAGGGGTTTCGGCTATTTCCGACCGAAGAGTGAAGGAAGTAACTGAGCATTGAGGTGAATGCTGACTAAGCTTAAATGCCAAGTGGGGCTGGGATGTGCAAAGAGAGGCAATAAGTGGTATAGAGGTGATATCAGGCTGCTAGCTAATACTAGCTCTTGCGAAAAACCGTGTTCAAAGAAAAAGCAAGAACTCGAAAACTTCACAATGTTCTTCTTCAGACCTGTCTTCTTTGACATGGCAATGCTCCCCTAAGAGAACTGACGGGCGTATTGAGCAGCCATGGGTAGACAGAGAATATTTCGAAGATTATTCTAACTAAAAATGCCCATAGGATCTTCGGTGCCGAGAGTTTTTTGACCAAATGAAAAGAAGCCGCTGTTTAACCTTGTTTCAGTGCATGTATGTTTGCCAACTTTCAAATTTTAAAAATTGTGCACTTGCCGCGAGGGGTGAAAAGTAAGTGGTTTCTGGGTTCTGTTAGTCCTTGCTTTACTCTAGCACCTCCAGCATTAGATTCATCGATTGCCACTACTGATGAAAAGTTATTGCTTGTATTTAGAATTTTTGTATACATAATTATTCTTAACAACAAAGTTTACTGGCAAGACATTCTTTCGCATGAAAGTGAGTTTGTGCATATGCTGGACTGTTTCACCCTTATTCCGTGACCAACACAACTTGAATTGGAGAGCATATTTCGGGGATTTTCTCGCAAGAATTTTTCTTAACTGAGAACGTATTTCGATCATATGGGGTTCATAGGCTGCAATCTCGTCAGAATTGAGATTTCATTAGGATATGCTATGTCTTAGAGAGCAAGAAAATGCTTTCTAATGATACAATATCGCTTTACGATTGAAAATCATCTAGAACGGCTGCTTCAAAGCAAAAAATCGGACAGAACTTATGCAGCAGCCGCCTAATATGATGAATTTATCAATGCTTTGGTTTTGAATGATCATCGAACAGAGAGTTTTTTGATTTAGGATAGCTTTTTTATATCGATCGACATACAACTCGAAAACTTGAAACGTTTAGAACAAACGTAAACCGTCTCTTTTTGTCCTGCTCTCTTGTAAATTCACTTAAAAATTTTTATCTAGCTGCAACTTCAGCTGATTTTATCGATCAGTTTGCGCTCCATTTTTAGGTAGAGGAAAGCTAGAAAAAAAGAGACCGCCAACTTTTACTGATGAGATCTTTCTCTGTAATACAGCAAGACAATCAGGCACCTTCAATCATCCTTTACAAAGGAATTTCTTGACAAAGGCACATATGTTTTGAGCTAAAATGCCCTGTATCTCTGAGTAGAGGGGAGCTAAAGAAAAAACGGTCTACGTCGAATTCTCTTTCGTCAGTTCTCTAAAGGTATATAGGTTGTTAGATGAAAAAACTCGTTGCAAAAAAAATGGGTGTAGATACTTACTATTAGCTTGCTCTACCCCGCTCACCCAATAGCTGGGCTTTCATGAGGCCAGAGCAAGACTTTTTTGGGCTGGGAAAGCTTCATGCACAACACTCTGTATACCATTCGATAGCTAAGAATACGTAAAATTGACATAGACCGTCTATTTTTTCCTAGCTTTTCTATGAAACGAGATATGAGCAGTTTTATCTAGCTACATCAGCCAACTTTGGGTAAATTTCATGCTTCACTTTCGAAACCAAGAAGGTCTTTTTCGAAGTTTTAGATTCGAGAGCTTGAAAAACAAATAATCCAACTGCTCTTTTATTTGTTATCTTTCTCTCTAGGGAAAGGAGATATGGTACAATACCTGTAAGTAAACATACATCCATCATTGGCCAGTACAGATTTTCTACTCTTGCCCAAATCTTTCTTGCGATAAGGTGTATTCATTGATACAATGTTAATTATTGAAGAAATCAGACATCCTTTAACTTTTTGGTTAGATTTCGTTATCAACGCCACTTTGAGAGCGACAGGAGGCCTTAAGCATGCGAAACATCGAAGCGACAGTTTTTCCAATAAAGACGGTGTACTTCGATGCTCTCTTGCAGTCTTGATGTCTGTGGAGAAGGCAGCTGGCGTTTTCTTTCCAAACGAAAATATTGTAATAACCATTTCACTCTGCCGTTATGCCTTGACTCTAGTCTCAACCTCAAGTGAAAGAGGTCAGCCAGATGCCGGCTCTAAAGTGAACGGGGTCAGGAAAATTTCTCCACTATCGCATCTATG